GTCACCGGCCACCAACGTGAGGGAGCAAGTCACCGGCCACCAACGTGAGGGAGCACGTCACCGGCCACCAACGTGAGGGAGCACGTCACCGGCCACCAACGTGAGGGAGCACGTCACCGGCCACCAACGTGAGGGAGCAAGTCACCGGCCACCAACGTGAGGGGGCACGTCACCGGCCACCAACGTAAGGGGGCACGTCACCGACCACCAACGTAAGGGGGCACGTCACCGGCAACCAACGTGAGGGACCACGTCACACGGGATTCTCCACCTCCCCCACCCCCGCATGTGAGCAATGGATACTTCAAGAGCCTTCATCAGGATTGGGCAAAACCAGAACAGTGAGATATAGTTACAAAGTTGTTGTTTGTTTCTCCACCCCACAGCACGAAATCTACAGAGAGGCGGAGCCAACAATCTCCGAGGAGACTCCTGCTGGCCGGAGTTAAAGTATAACTCAGGATGACGAGCGGGAAAGGGAGATTCATACCTGTGAGCAAAGGTCATGTGACACCGCCCAAACAAAGGTCATGTGACACAATCCTGCATACAGTGCACTGGAGGAAAGGTGGAGGACACGAGGAGGGAGGGAGGCTCATCTATCTCCGGAGTATCGCAACCAGCAACATACCAGAGCACAAACACCAGATACATAATGCTGCGTCCTCCCCTTCGGTCTTCTACCTGACCTCCGTCCTCCCCTTCGGTCTTCTACCTGACCTCCGTCCTCCCCTTCGGTCTTCTACCTGACCTCCGTCCTCCCCTTCGGTCTTCTACCTGACCTCCGTCCTCCCCTTCGGTCTTCTACCTGACCTCCGTCCTTCCCTTCAGTCTTCTATCTGACCTCCGTCCTTCCCTTCAGTCTTCTATCTGACCTCCATCCTCCCCTCCGGTCTTCGAACTGACCTCCATCCTTCCCTTCGGTCTTCTACCTGACTTCCAGCCTCCCCTCCAGTCTTCGAACTGACCTCCATCCTCCCCTCCGGTCTTCGAACTGACCTCCATCCTTCCCTTCGGTCTTCTACCTGACTTCCAGCCTCCCCTTCGGTCTTCGAACTGACCTCCGTCCTTCCCTCTAGTCTTGCACAGTTGTCCCGGCTCCTCTGATTTCTCTGCACACTGGGAGCTTCTCACAATGTGCATTAGAAGCTGCAGATAGAGCCCACCTCACTTCCTGGCTGGAAGACGTCCAGCATCATCTAGCTCTTCTTCCCCAGCTTGACTGTCCTTGGCCCCGCCTTTTTTATTAATTGGTTTTCAGTTCTTTCAAATCACAGACGCTGAGTTTCACAAGTGGGCGTTACCTAGTGCAGTCTGCCAAGGAACGCCCACTCCTCCAGAATGACATCCTCCCATCAAGACATTTTGATATTTGCATAACTCCTCCCAAGAGCCGGCCCACTGCTTGCATCAGGGCTGAAGACTGTTGAGAGATGTACAGAGGCAGGGTGCTGTGATGTTTTCGGGAAGCTATGTACAGCACTCTGCCGGATCCTCCCACCAGCCATGATCTGTTTGCATTGCATAGAGAAGCAGAGAGAGCCAGTGATGACATCACCAAGTGTGTCA